TGCTAGGGTACGATTCCAGCGCTGCTTGATTAATCCTGGCTTACGTGTTGATTTCTGTCTCCAGCCATAGCCACGAGTGTTCCAACGTCACCAAGCGTCTCTACCTCTGCTCCTCCAATACCGTCACCCACACAGACCCACAAGCCAGGTAAAACATGTGTTTGGAAGCCTGGAGGGCTTCTAGTGAGAGACTGTGGACCACCCAGACCATAGTGTTGAGGCAGAAGGACAGTTTAGGGTGAGGGTTCTTATCTGGGTTCCAAACAAGTTCTCCACAGGGTTTGTAGTTCTCCTCTTCTTCCCAAATTATATGCACCTTTTGTACATAGAAACATTTTCAGAGTGAGGGGATGCATCGCTTTCTATCAGTTTCTCAAAGGGATCATTAGCCAAAAATAGCTGGATCACTGATCTAGGACATCTAACGGAGATAGTGTGGATCTGGCTCAGGTGGGCGTTGTGTCTTGAGGAAAAAGCAGGGAAAGCCAAGAACAAGGGTCAGGTTAATGAGATTCTGCCCTCACAAGGAGCTCTGAATAGAGATCATTAGCCCATTCTGAATTCAGATCCTCCACTCGGTAAGATTTCAATGAAGCTAACACTTAACTGTCTTCTATGTGGTAGGCACCATGCTACGTGCATTTAATTCTTACTGACAACTGTATCCATTGTAGGTGTGGTTCAACAGTATTTTATAGTTGTGGGAACAGAGACACAGAGTCTAAAAGTTCATTGTTGAAAGTAATACAGGTAGAAATTGGTTGAGTCAGGATTCAATCTCTGTTAATTTGAATTTGGACCTGTGCTTTAAACTACCGGATTGGGCCTCTTATCTTGAGCACTGAGCTTTATGTTTAGATGAATTTGACCTGATCTGATGCCTTCACTGAAAAAGCTTTTACACAACCACTCTGTCTTTCGGCGGCAATGATTTACACAGTTTTGCGTCAAGGGTCCTTTAATTTATTTATGTAGCATGAAAATTGTAAAAGATGCTATTAATGCTTATGAAAAAAATAGACATTGGATTTAAGGACTTCAGGGATTTAGAATGTACATGTTTATTTTTTTCAATTCAGACCACATGGTTCATACTTCGAATTTCCCATAGATAAGAGTTTAGATTTCATACAAATGAGACTAACTTGACTTACAGGTGTGAAAATAACTTGTCATTCTGAGGACAAGTTCAGGTTCAAATCTTCTTTTTCCAGGATTAAAAAGATAAGTTTAGTGGAGATTCTCAAAGCCCCCCAAACCCTTTGACCCCATGAGGTGGCTCTGGATTTGGAGGAGTAACAGAAATGTCTCAACCTCTTAGCCAGAAAAATCTGATGGAACATATTGATTTCCCTTGACTTCCATTGAACCGTGTGTGCATTTAACCGGGAGGGATCTGAAGGACTGAGCTATGCGCTGAATTTGGAAGAGAGGGCTTTTGGTAATAACTGGGATTTTAGAGCCATAAAAGTGTGTAAGAAAAACAGCTTTGTTCCAGGCAGCTGAACACACTAGAGAATCTGCTAGACTTTCTCGTATTGATTTAACTTTTTAATACTTAGTTTGTGCCTTTGAAGGTGGATGGATTAGTGGACTTGGTTTGGAGAACATGTCTAAGTTATTGACTTCATTTAAAGCTGAGATTTAGACAAAAAATGTTGGTTTATATGTCCATGTGGCCTCCTGAGTGATGGCATTAATTGAGCCTTATTCGTGCCCAGTTTCCTAAAGAGTTTGAGTTTAGAGTCGAACTTCTCAGTACAAGAAGAAGTAAACACTGGAGTGTCTAATGTGGGGACACGTATCTTATATCTACCCTGATCCCTGCACTCAGAGCCTCTATCACATGCCTAAAATATCCATGGAACATGAGGTTGAAAGAGTGCGGGAGAAAAGAAAAATGCCACAAAGACCCAAACGTGGGAAAGAAGTTAAGCTCAAGAGGTCTTTTGCACAGAACTAAGTTGGGTAAAGACTGACCATCTGACTCTCATGTGTTGGTCTGTTTTTAGTTCAGAAAGAGCCACATCCTCTTACAGGTTTGAGCACTAGAGGGAAACAGGAAAACAGAACATGAGAAAGGGTGATACTGAAATGTGAAGTTACCGAGACTGTGATGGGGAAGGGGAAGCAGACAGGCCAGGGAGAGATGCTAAGGAGAGCCCAGGTTTGGGAATTCTCGTCCAGCCACCACCACTAATTTGCTCTAGATTTCTGTGATGCTCTGAGGGAAAGGAATCATAGAAAGACTTTGTAAAGAGGCAAGTGATCAACTGCAGATCAGGTGAGATATCTGATAGGAAGTAAAGGAGAGATTTCAGGAAAGGAAAGGGAAACACAGCCTTGCATCAGAGAGTTCCTAGTGGACGCTTTTTATTGAGAATTGGAAGATGAGTCAGATAACACAGGCAATCACCCTTAAAATGGGAATGGCTAGAATGCAAGTGCAGAAGAACGTGGGATCGGGGTCTGCCAGGAACCCGGCTTTGAGGGTTGCAAATCATTACCAAGTCCATGACATTGGGCAATATTGTCGGCTTGAAGGGACTTGAGGAATTCATATTACGAGTATCTATTCTGTGTTGGTTAATAAAATAACTCATGATAATAAATAACTAGATAGCAGTGCCATGCCCGAAGGCCATCTTGGAATAAATTTCCAATAGGAGCTGAAAGGGCTAGATGTGGGTAGCTGGGAGCCATTCATGCCTCCTGAGGAAGGCTGCGTGGAGGCCCCATGGAAAGTTGATAGTAATTCCTGATTTTAGTTCTGTTCTTTATCTTTCTTGGGGGAGCAAATTTTCCTCCACAAATGGAACACAGTTCTTCCATTAATTTTATTCCAGTACCTACATCACATTCTCCAGCTCAGCCATCGGAAACCCAGCCTACAACACCGCAGGAAACAAGGACACAGGCCACCAGTTCACTATTTTACTCTTACACAACAGGTAACTGGATTCTCTTTCCTAAACACCTGGGATAATTCAAATCTTGATAACCACTGACATTGCTGAGAGCACACATTCTGGAATAAGACAGATCTGACTTGAGATCCAACACCAGCCATCGAAATCAACTATTTGATTTATGAAAATGTCTAAACTTTGTGAATCTGTTTTGTCGTTTGTAAAATGGATATGATTCCACTGATCTTGTAGAATGCTTGAGAGGATTAAATGAGATGACAGATTTGGGATACAGTTACAAGGGTGAGTGATAGATATATTAACAACTACTATCATTGCTTAGAATATCTAGAATCCATGTGCCTGATTGGCAAAGGTAGCTTGTATGATTTGGAAACATCCAGATGCATGTTATTTTTATAAATCAAATCAACCTCTTGACTCCAAACTTATTATTGGACTTGATCCCTTGGGCCAGGACCTTAAAACAATTAAATCCGGTCACCCATGCTTCTTTTATGGCCCAGGCCCTAAATACAGCCAGGAGTCTCCTACTGCCTTGGCAAGCTTGTATTTACATGAGCATTCTGAGATGGGGCTATGTGGTCTAGATGTTTGCGTCTCCCCAAAATTCATATGTTGACACCTAATCTCCAAAGCAGTAGTATTAAGAGGTGGAGCATCTGGGAGGTGATTAGGTCATGAGTGCTCCACCTTCATGAATGGGATTAGTGTCCTTATAAAAGAGGCCCGAGGGAGCTTGTCTGCCCCATCCCCCACACGAAGACACATAGAAGGCGACATTTATGAGGAATGGGCCCTCACTAGACACTGAATCTGCAGGCGCCTTGATCTTGGATTTCCCAGCCTCCAGAATTGTGAGTGATAAGTTTCTATTGTTTATAAGTTACCCAATCTGAGATATTGTGTTATAGTAGTCTGAATAGCCTGATAAATTGGGGACACCAACACGAGTGTCAAAGAGGCGTGTCCCGCTGAGATCTTGCTATTCCTCTCCAAACGATCTTTCTCACTCTCCTGAGTCTGCGCTGGTCTCCTATAGTCTCTACTTGTTAGAAAGGTAAAATTGGCCTCTCTTCCCTGTGGTGGAGAAGGTGATGCTGAATCCTGTCATCTTTCCCAGCTAATTCTCTTGGTTACGCATAGTGGTAAGCTTTGGGAATGCCCGGTCCTGAGCCCTTTGTGAGGCAGACCTGGCTAATGTGTCCTTGTGCTGCATCCAAACAAGGTCACGTTTTGCAGGACTCCTCCTGCGTGTGACTCACTGTACTCAGCAGTTGCCAATCTGTGGGCACCCGCCTCCCACCCCATATGGCTTACCTTTTGCCAAACATTCCTGGAAGCTGGTTAATTAAAAATGGACCTGCAGTGAGATTCACAGAGGGACTCATTCAGCTGGGATGAGATCATGGTGACATTTGGTTTTGAAAGTGGAATCCTTAGTGCAAAGTGTTTCCAGGCACAAAAACAAAATGAAAATAGATAAAAACACAAGGTAACAGCAGTAGGAGCAGCTGCACCCCTCTCTTCTAGGGTGTGAGGAGGAAGAAAGTAGGAGTGGGGAATCATTCTTTAAAATATCATGTCACTGAAACCTGGTCGATGTAGAGCTTTCCAGGGTGGAACAGACAGTGGAGCAGCTGGGTCCCTGGGACTCACGTAGTGGCTGCCATTTTGGCCGTGTGTCTAAGGCTCTTGGGCCAAGTTCTCACTGCGCCTGTGCCAGCCCTCAGTTCCCGAAAGCCTCTTGGAAGCACAAAATGTGAGATCTGGAAGGGATTTTAGTTGTCATGTGGCCCACTACTCACCTTTGACAGATGTGTGTGCCAGGAAACTCATATATTATCTCATTTAATTCTTCCCAGGTAAGCCATATTTTTGTTGCCATTGTCAGATTAGAAGGCTCTATAAATCTGCTCTGGAGGCACACGGCTCCCCAGTTCAGCCCACCAGTTACTACTTCCGTGCCCACTGGCAAGCAGTTGAACATTCCTCCCTGGGTGATTAGAGTCTATGCTAATTAGAAGGTGCAGCGCACAGCACCCCTGTCTCTCCTCATGGTTCCTTCCATCGTATAATAACAATAGCTGGTATCAGCTGGTCCGATGGTAGTGAGTTGTCAGAACTTACTAACATTAGTGTCACCAAAGTTGGTATTCACCCCCCCACTGCTAAATTTGACTGGCTTAAAAAAAATAACAATAGCTGGTATTTATCCAACATAGTGTCAGCTTAGTCACATGTATAATCCAATTTAATTTTAACAACGTTCTGTGCTGTGTACTATTTATAGCTTGTAGTTCAAGGGTTCCTAGCTACAAATATATATACGGTAGTTCCCCCTTACTCTGCAGTTTCACTTTCTGCAGTTTCAGCTACCTGCAGTGAACCACAGTCTGAAAATTTTAAGATAATTTGGAAGAGAGAGCGAGATAGAGTATCTTCACATAGTTTTTATTATAGTATATTGTTATAGTCTATTATTAGTTATTGTTAATCTCTCGCTGTGCCTAAGTTATAAATTAAACTTTATAACAGGTATGTATGTATAGGAAAAAACATAGTATATATAGGGTTTGGCACTGTTCAGTTTCATGCATCCACTGGGGGTCTTAGAACATATTCCCTGCAGATAAGGGGGCACTATTGCATACACACAGCTTCATATACAGATACATATACATACGTGTGTATGCAGAAGATCTTGAGTATCAAGGTCACATTGCTAACAGACATTGTCAGCACTGAACTCTAATTTTATCTGATTCAAGTCCATGCTATTTTTACTGCATCACCCAGCCCTATTCCTGAAGTTCTTAATTAAGATCACAAACAGATATAAATCTAGATACTGCCTTCGGCTCTCTAGGAAGTGGTTTCAGAATGTATAGAATGTAAACACAGTAATGTAAATATTTGGGAAGAAGGATGTGATTAGTCCCATTCTATTCATGTTGAGGCTCTATAACTTTATCAGATAGGCAATTTTATAGACCTACAAGCATTTCCTTTTGATGGCAGTGCAATGCTGTGGTGGTTATCAGCAGCAGCCCTTGTCATTTACTAAAATGGGAAACTTCTGTATCCATTGCCTGTCTGCTTCTTCATCTATAAAATGAAATTAACTTGGAGAAGCTCAGGCAGGAGGATCACTTGAGGCCAGCATGGACAACATAGTAAGACCCTGTTGCTACAAAAAGTTTTTAAAAATCAGCTGGGTGCAATGGTGTGTGCCTATAGTCCCAGCCACTCAGGAGGCTGAGGCAGGAGGATCACTTTAGTCCAGCAGTTGGAGGTTGTGGTGAGCTATGAACTTGCCACTGCACTCCAGCCTAGGAGACAGAGTGAGACTGTATCTCTTAAAAAAGATTAGAAAATAATAAAAAATTACAAAAATAGGATTAAGAACCTGGTGTTAGGATGTAATGTGCTTCGTATATGGTAGGTACTTAGTGAAAAGATAATTCTTTTTTGGGGGCAGAAGGGGCAGGAAAGGAGAGAGAAGGGCTGGCATAGGGGGATGGAGAGATATGAGGCTCAGGCACCAGTCTAGAAAGCCTCTAATTAAAAAGAGAATTCTGTACTTGACCTATATAGTTGGCTAGGAAGGCCAACAGAACATATTTTCTATTTCAAAACACTTTGAAAACTTGAATGACTTTAAGACCAATGTATTTTTTTTTTTTGAGACAGAGTCTCACTGTCTTGCCCGGGCTAGAGTGCCGTGGTGTCATCATAGCTCATGGCAACCTCAAACTCCTGGCTCAAGCGATCCTCCTGCCTCAGCCTCCCGAGTAACTGGGACTACAGGCACATGCCACCATGCCCGGCTAATTTTTTTCTATATATTTTTAGTTGTCCGATTAATTTCTTTCTATTTTTTGGTAGAGACGGGGTCTCGCTTTTGCTCAGGCTGATCTCGAACTCCTGAGCTCAAACAATCTGCCCGCCTTGGCCTCCCAGAGTGCTAGGATTACAGGCGTGAGCCACCGCACCCGGCCTTAAGACCAATGTATTTTATGTTACATAAAATCTTAATCCTTATATATGGTATAATATACACCGGTCTTGTGGCTGATAACGTCTTCTAAGCATTTCTGGATTAAAGTCCAGACACATTAGCACACAATGTAAAGTTCTATACTACCTGTTGTGGATATCATGGTACATTTTAATCATATTTTGAATGTAAAACCAATGTGATGTCCACTTGGAATAGGGTGGTTCTGATGTTTGGAAGTGCTTGTGGCCTCTGGGCACTCCATGACAGCTTTTCAGCTAGCATGACAATATTGATTGCCATTAAATGCTATTCTTAACCTGGTACCATCAATGGGCTTCTGTGATTTCCCTAAAATTGTAGGTAAAATTTTGTGTGCTTCTGAATTTTTTTCCATAAAGAAGAAAAGGAGTTCATTTTCAAAGAGCCCATGACAAAAAGGTTAAGAAACTCAATTTTATAGGATAAATTAATAAAATGTTAATAACTTGGTATGCCTCTTGCAATGCTTACAGCCTTTGTTCATATTATTCAATTTTTTATTCATCACCAGGAGGCACTGTGAATATATTTGGTGTCTGCAGTGAAAACTCAATATTTTTTGTAATTCTAATTAAATTTCCTTCTTGTTTTGAGCAGATGGGAATGGCACCATGACACAGTCTTCAGATGGCCTTTGGCTTGACAATCAAACTGTAAGCATATTCCCTCCTATTTGATTAGCCAGATTCACTTGTAACTTGCTTCCAGGAAGATAGACATTTAAAGACTATTTCTGTAAGACTAGCCCATAGACTTTTATTCTACTCGAAAAAAAAAATTTTGACTCTTAAATAGGTTGTTTTAATTTGAAAAGTTCATTTAGGTTGACTAGTTTGTTAAAGATGCCCAATAAGTGGTATTTTACTGAATAACTCACACACACACACACACACACACACACACACACACACACACAGTACAATGACATTCCCTGACCAAAAATTGCTAGAAAAAAAAAGAATGAGCTAATTTAAGGAGAGCAAGTTAACATAAAATACTCAGGAGGACTTCAATTATTAGGGAAACAACAAGCTTTGGTGGGGTGGAGTGGAGGCCATCCCAAACAATAATAAAATGTAAGTGAAAGAGTGCTTGCTTAAAGATAAGTCCTCTAACATCTTTTTCCCACTCAATAGCCATTTTATGTAGATATGTAGAAATTTTGAGGCCACTGTTGATTTTTTTTTTTTCTATAGACAAACCAACCCATACGTAACTTTTAAAGGTATTAAGGTCTTAGAACACTTTTTTTTTCTCTCTTTAAAAGCCACAGGGTCTCACTCTGTCAGCTAGGCTGGAGTGCAGTGGCAAAATCATAGTTCACTACAATCTCAAACTCCTGGGCTCAAGCAATCCTGCTGCCTGAGCCTCCCGAGAAGCTGGGAGTACAGGCATGTGCCACCATGCTCAGCTAATTTTTCTATTTTTTGTAGAGACAGGGTCTCTCTATGTTGCCCAGGCTGGTCTCAAACTCCTGGCCTCAAATGATCCTCCTACCCTGGCCTCCCAAAGTGTTGGAATTACAGATGAGAGCCACTACGCCTGGCCAAGGTCTTAGACAACTGTGATTCTCAAAGAAGTTCTCATATTTTTTTCACAGTGATCTTGAGAAAAATCTAAGGGATCCCAGTCTCCTGATGCTCACAGAAGTTTCAATTTTGCACATAAGTTAGACAAATTCATCAATAGGACCTTGTCTTCTGACTCCTGGGAGAAGCAACCAGCCTTTTAGTATATGCAAGTAACTCTTAGAAGCAACAAACAAAAACAATCTGAGGTTATGAGCATAATCTTTCTAATAGCAAGTTGTGAAAAATGACAACACGGCCATTGTAAGAGAAATTCAAAAAGCTCAGGCAAAGTAGGGCTATTTAGTGCAGGGCCAAATAGCCTTATGCTGTATACCTTAGAGACAACGAGAACACCACTACATAGGAGTGATATTAAAAATTTAACAACTTGTATGACATGGGTACTGATTGATTGGAAGGATGCAGGCTGAATTTGTACATACTTGCTAAATATCAGAATTGCCGCTGTATACATATTTAACGTATCGCCTTATGACCAGACTTACGCTGAATTAAAAAAAAAAAGCCACTCTGAATGGTCAGGTTGTTCATGGCCTCGGTTACCTACAGAACATGTGTGTATAGCAGCAAGTAGAAGCAATTTAGAAGCAAGTTCAAGACAGGCAATAGCAAAAAAATGTGGGCTTTTTGTACCTTGACTCTGAAGATACCAAGATGTGTCCCAGGTATCTTGAAAACATGCAGCATATATTTTGACCCAGTAGGTCAATTTCCTGGGCCCTATCTTAAGGAGAAAATTGAACAAATACATAAAAATGTATAAGAGAGTATGTTCATTACTGTTATTTATAATCATGGAAATGTTATCAACAATCTAAATGTTTAATAGTAAGAGATTAATTACTTAGTCAATTAAGCATGTCCATATATTGCCATTAAGAACTGTAATCATTGCAGAGCACTTACTGACATGGATTGTAATACATTGTTCAGTAAAAGAAGTGACTTTTAAAATAGTATATATGTTATAAAGAAAATATTCTAGAAGGATAAAATTCTAGAAGAGTATATAAAGCAAATGGTAACAGTGCTTGTTTCTCGATGTTAGGGTTATGGTTGATTTTATTTTTCCTTTTTTATGCTTAGCTGCACATTCTAAAATGAACATGTCATGTTTGTGTCATATAATTTAAAAAATGAAAGCAAAGCCAGCCTCCTGAAACCCCACTCTCCATCTACCCACTTTATACCCTCCCCCTGCCCTTAGCCTTCCCCATGGGTAAGGTGATAACAACAGAGTTTTCTCCTCCCAGACTCTGGCTATCTAAGCAAGGATGGCACAAATGTTGTTAGCCTGTAGCCTCATAGTGTTTATCGGGAAGGACCTAAAAAGCACCTTTCCAAAACCCCATTGAATCTGCTGTTTATAGACATAGAAACAGAGGTTAAGAGGGGATAAATAACGTGTCCACGATTACACAGAGACTCTAAGTAGAAGAGCTGGAATTCTGACTCCAGAAATTAAACTCTTACACAGGAAGACACTCGATCCTTCTCTCCAATCCTCTACTTCCATTCTGTTAAAATATTGCCCCTGTGAATTCTCTTTAGGATCAGAGCTAAGCTATGAAAGGGGGTCTTGCATGATGCCTGGCACATTTGGGCTTTTTCCAGAAGGTGACAATCTCTTGTGATCTGCGCCAGGAGATTTAAATACAATTCCACATCTTTGTGATTGTGAATTGTGCTGCTATAAACATTCAGGAGCAAGTGTCTTTTTAATAAGATGAATTTTTTTCCTTTGGGCAAATGCCTGGTAGTGGGATTGCTGGATCGAATGGATGGTAGGTCTCCTTTTAGTTCTTTGAGGTATCTCCATACTACTTTCCGTGGAGGTTGTGCTAGTTTGCAGTCCCACCACCCAAGTGCCCATCAATACGTGAGTGGATTAATAAAATGTGGTATATGTATATCATGGAGTTCTACTCAGCAATAAAAAAATGGTGATCTAGTTCCTTTTGTAACAACCTGGATGGAACTGGAGACCATTCTTCTTAGTGAAGTATGGCAAGAATGGAAAAACAAACACCACATGTACTCAATACTAAATTGGAAATAATTGATCAACACTTATGTACACATATGGAAGTAAAACTCAAGGGAAATCAAGTAGGTGGGAGGGGAGGGGAGGGGATGGGTAAATTCACACCTAATGTGTACAATGCACACTAACTGGGTGAAGGGTGCACTTATAACTTTGACTCAAACTGCACAAAAGCAAATTATGTAACCAAAACATATGTACCCCTGTAAAATTCTGAAATAAAAAAATAGAGTAAAAAATGAAATAAATACAATTCTACATTTCTGCCTGATTGCATACCATTAAATTGTTAATCAGGGCCATGTCTGTGAGCAGCTATTTTCAAATCTATTTATATAGACATAGAATCTTGAATTACATTTGAAAGAACAAGGACTGTAAACAAGGACCAAATTCAATAACTGAACACATTCAGATAATATCACATCAAGTCAACTTATTATGAACAGAAATTGTTTTTTTTTCTGTTATTAATATCATAAGAGGATATATTTATGGAAACAGCCTATTGACTTTAAGAACATAATTTGCATACAATACATACAAACCCATTTTAAGCCCACAATTTTAGTTTTGACAAATGTATATACCTATATAAATACCACCCCAAGTAAGATACAAAACATTTTCATCATGCTAAAATACGTTTTTTTTATTTCAGCATATTATGGGAGTACAGATGTTTAGGTTACGTATGTTGTCCTTACCACGCCCCCAAGTCTGAGCTTCAAGCGTGTCCATCCCCAGGATGGTGTGCATCGCACTCATTATGTTTGTATATACCCATCCTCTCCTCCCCCCTCCCACCTGCCCGACACCTGATGAATGGTATTCTTATATGTGCACTTAGGTGTTGATCAGTGAAACCAATCTGCTGGTGAGTACGTGTAGTGCCTATTTTTCCATTCTTGGAATACTTCATTTAGTAGAATGGGTTCCAGCTCTATCCAGGAGAATACAAGAGGTGCTATATCACCATTGTTTCCTAAAATACGTTTTGAATTTCAAATTCTCCTAGAATTTCATCATTAGTTATAACCTCAGATCATTTGGTCGTACCTTTGTGTTCCAGAAGTAGTTAAGGTCCAGTAAAGATAAATGTAGCTGGGTAAGTTATTCTAGGAAATGTTTTCTATCCATAATTCTAACAAGATGCTTTTTCAATCTACTGATGTTTCCTTAGCAAGTGTCCCCAACAGAAAATATGTGGATGAGCACCGCCACTAATGAGGGACTCTATGTTGGAATCTCCCTTTCTGCCTTGATGCTGCTTGCTGTTTTGGTTGTTATCATCACTAAAAGTAAGTCATTTCAAGATTGTTCTCAAGGGTCTACAGCAAAGGTTCCATAGCTAAACTGCCTGGGTTCAAGTAGCTCCATACGGCATGTGATTTTGATTTTGCATGACTTCCCTATGTCCCCAAATCCTCACGTGTAAAACACATGTGGTAGTACCATCTACGTCAAGAGGCATGTGACTTCTATATGCATTAGTACACACAAAACACTGAGAACAGTGGCACATGGTAAGTGTACAGCTATCTTAAACTATGATTATTGTATTTCTTAATAGAAAAGATCCTTTCAACCACAAATCTTTATAAATCTCATGGAACTTACATTCTAGTGGATTTTTCCCTTAACATCATTGTTTTTATTTATTTATTTATTTCAGAGAATTACGGGGGTAATAAATAAATTACCCCCATAATTTATTGCTTTTGTACAGTTTGAGTCAAAGTTCTAAGTGTGCCCATCACCCAGATAGTGTGCATTGTACCTGTTAGGTGTGAATTTACTCATCCTCTCCTACTCCCTCCCACTTACTTGATTTCAATACCATTTTTTCTTAACCTTCTTTATTTTTCATTTATTGGCCCCCTTAAAGAGAAAAATTGTATTCTCTTAAATAGAATTAAATTAAATACAGTCATTTCTCAGTATCCTTGTATTGGTTCCAGGACCCCATAAATACGAAAATCTATGGATGTGCAAGTCCCTTATATAAAATGGTGTAGTATTTGCAAATAACCTGTACACATCCTCCCATATAATTCAAATCATCTCTAGATTACCTATAATACCTAACACAATGTGAATGTCGTGTAAGTCATGGTTATACTCTATTTTTATCTGTATTATTATTTTTAAAAGTATTTTCGATCTGTAGTTGGTTGAACCTGCAGGTGCAGAACTCATGGATACGGAGAGCCATCTCTGTTAAGAAATAAGTGTTTGCTGGGTAGGGTTGAGATTTGGAAAGCAACACACCATTGTAATATATAAGATTTGTTTTCTCTGTCCCTCAAAATCTAATTTTTTTCCCAGTGGGGATGATATTGTTGAAAAGTTTTACAATGGCCATTTGGCAGAAGAGGCAAATGACACATTGAGAGGGGAAACTGGTTGCAACACTATAACTAGAACAAAAATCTTCAAAAAGTAACCACCCAGGGCTTCATATCTCCTGCCAGTCATGTGTGTGTGTGAGTGTGTGTGTGTGTGTGTGTGAGTGTGTGTATGCGTGTGAGTGTGTGTGGGTAACCTGCCTCCTATAAAAGAACCACAAATAGCTATTTTTTTTCCCTTTGAGACAGAGTCTCACTCCGTTGCCCAGGCTAGAATGCCATGGTGTCAGCCTAGCTCACAGCAACCTCAAACTCCTGGGCTCACGCGATCCTCCTGCCTCAGCCTCCTGAGTAGCTGGGACTACAAGCATGTGCCACGACCCATGGCTAATTTTTCTATTTTTTCAGTAGAGACAGGTTCTCACTCTTGCTCAGGCTGGTCTCGAACTCCTGAGCTCAAGCAATCCTCCCACCTCAGCCTCCCAGAGTGCTAGGATTACAGGTGCGCCCAGCCCACAGATAGCTATTTTGCAAGACACTGTATTTGAACCTATTACTGATCTGTTTCATTGTGCCTGGGCAGAGTTAGAAAATTAAGAGTATGCTTGGCAAATTGGAGGAAGTTTCCACATAATTATTTTATTTAGAACTTGGTTAGTCAAAACGATTATTTAGAAATTGGGTAACACACCTTTTAGAGAAGTTCACACCTTCCCTCTGAAGGTTTGATGATTGAGTATGCTGAAATACACTGAAAGCAGACAGATTAATAGGAGAGAAGGTATATTACATGCACATGCGCATAGGAGCCACACAAAATGAGACTCAAAGACCCAATGGCTAAAGCTTAAATACCCTTTTCATGAGGGAGAGGGAAGTGGAGGATATAGGTAATCTTAGAGGAATAGTAAAGGATTTTTAGGGCAGATGAATGGGCCCAAAGAACAGACAATAGCCTGGGACAAAGTTCTTTTGGGCTCTGGGTATGTTGTCAACTCTAGCCTACCTTCCTGTAATGTGCACCCATTTCTCTGGGGGAGGGACGCACAACGATTGAAAATCTGGAGGATTCGGCCTATAGGTAGAGCAGGGAACTCCAGAGAAAGCCCTTCCCTGCATTCGCTGCTACCGGGTGCTCTCAGTTTGAAATCCACAGCAGCATATTTTGAGGTATTGTTTTCTGAGCCCCAATAACCTCAAATATGCTTTCCTCCTTAACTAAAGCAACTCTTTATCGCCCTCTTAAGGAGTGGTGACTGGTAGTGTAAAAGTCTGGCAAAGGTATCCTTTGATAGGTGTGACCCTTAGCATGGCCTTGTGTCAGTCTTGGTTAATGCCTGGTCTCCAGCAGCCCATCAGAAAACTTTCTCAGTTTTTAAACTGAAAGAAAATTTAACAATCGTATTAACGTAAATGAGGATATGTGGACGAATGCACCAAACCACTCGTGAAGATGAGATTCTGAACAATGAAGGGATTGTTTGGGCTCTACAGACTCGAAAAGAGATACGGGGAGGGGTTACCTGAAGTTACCAGGGAAGGGCCCGAGTAACAACAGAAATAAAGTACTTGATTGGAAGAAAACTGTATGAACTCTTGGTGGCATGTTTAATTTTCTCTTCAACTCCTCCCTGTCGTCCCAATTTAGGGTGTTCCTACATCAAACAGAAGATGCCACAACTAATGTAAGTTTGAAAGTGTTTGTGTCAATACCTTTGGGTGTTCCTACTCTACTAAGATAAAGAGAAATTTCTATCTCTTTCCACTTTTTCTTCTAAAAACTCCCATTTTGTATCCTGGATCCTGAAAAGCTAGATGAATGAGCACCTCTGTTGCTGTTCATACCTCCCTGTGACATTTTAGCTTTCTGTGTTTCCCTGGAGCTGTGGCAGAGCTGGCACAGAGGGGACACTTCACTCCTCCCCTCTTAGGGCAAGAGAACTACATTGCAAATTTTGCTTGATCGGCCTGAACATGGAATGAGTTGTTTTGGTTTGTTCTTTTATTTTATTCAATGCTGTGTTTTACTGTTTATTGAGTACCGATAATAATCCAAAGAGATGAACAAAACAGAAAACATATAAGCAAATAAACAAGGTCCTTTTAGGTGATTTCAGGCAACCATGATGGGGTCTATAGAGCAGGGTGAAGGGCTGTTTGAGGGAGCAGGAGATTTGTAGGAAGATAATTCCTGGCTGAAAGACAGGAAGTGCAAAGGCACTGAGGTAGGGCTAGTGCCTCCAGTTCTCTACAGCTCTCATCATTCCCTGCTGCCCCATAGCCAGCCGGCTCCACTCATTTACGTTAGTTGTCTGGCCATGTAGGCACTTGAATTTACTATCTTTGTGAGGATCTTTCACTCTACACTGCAACCCAGTTGAAACTGAAATCCCCTTTACTGCCTCTCTGCCATGAGGCTATCGGCCCCAATGCCTGTAATGGCAGGAGACAACTACTTAGTTCTAAAGCCAACTAGCCTACTCCATTTGGTTCCGGTTGGGCTTTAAGCAAGGATGTTCTCTGATTCAAAATCCATCCCTCTTAGGCTACCATTCATTAATCCTCATTCTCCTTCATTGGGTGTTCACACAAAGACTTAGCTATGTCTGAGTTAATTACAGGAGCCATCCACAGAACGTGCTTTGAGCAGTGCCCAGCACATTGTTAGTGCTCAATACATACATGTTGGGTTTTGTTATTGCAATCATGCCCTCCACAGCAACATACCTGTGAGACAGGCACTATTCTCATTTTACAGATTGGAGAACAGGTTCAGAAATGTTAAGGGGCATCTAAGGTCACAGCACGCAGTGTATAATGCCACAGTACACAATCTCTGGAGCCCACACTCCTAAGTAGTTTTGACCAACTGCTTCTGAAAGTGGAAGAGAAATGTTCCTCACAGGTGGAAAAGCATGGAACGTAGCATCCTTTTAGTTACTTGATTTCTGTTCTTACACTTCCAACTTACCTTTTTTTTAAAAAAAAGGTTAACTTTTTTATCATCTAATTATAAAAAATATTGTAGAAAACATAAAGTATTAAAAAGCAAAAAAAAAAATGCACCACTTAAGGAGTATTTTCTCACGACATTACCTTTTTGGCAGTTGTATCACACTGACTCATCCAAGCTTACCAACACCTAAACTAAGCGTTTTCACACATATCTGACTGACGCATTTAAGGACAATCGAGGAGCTTTGTCTCTCTTGTTCTTTTAAATACATTCAGTGTGGGCATGTTCTTCAACTGTGGCTGAATGAAGACTCAGGTTCCATATTTTTTGAGCCAGTCTTTGGTAGTAGAAATAGTCACTATATACAAATTTGAAATAACCAGCTACATCAAAATGCCACACAAGTTAAACTTGGAAGTCTGCTTTCTTCATGACTTGTTCTACTCTTTTACTCATTTCTACAAAGCCCAAACATCAGTCCACTGACTACCCTCAAATAACAGGATATACAGAACAAGCTCTCCAAGCAGTCACATTAAAGCCCCTCTTGTAATTTGATGTGTAAGGCCAGCACAGGAAACCAACAGCTCTCTCCAAAATATTAATCTCTTAATCTCCAATGCCTGGCCTTTTTATACACGTGGTATGTGTGAGTGTATGTGCTATAAAAGTAATCTAACCCTGGCCTTTGAAATTTGGCCATAAGACACAGTAAGATTTTGGGCACCATGATCCAGTATATACTTGTGAAATAGTGCTATTTTACTACATTCAGTATTTTTCTATTCTATGTTTTTCTTAAATACAGGATGGAGATCACTAAGTAGATTTAACAACCCTCTCTAAAGAGTCACAATCCACAGTTGGAAAAAACACCAGTCAACCAGTTCTGGGCCGACCACATTTGAAAATATGCATCTTGATTTAGTAACTTAGTTTGATGTCAGATATCTGTCTTTAGAGTTTTCATTTTTGTATGCTGTGATGTGAGTTTTCTGAAAGACACCAGTCTGAGTTTTTTGAATTCTTTTTAGATTGTCTATATGTTTATTATACAGACTTTTCTGCAATACTCAGGGCTACACTTCTCAGAACTCCAGAAGGCACTATTGATTTCGTAGTTTGTATGAAGGGCTCTTAGCATCACAACTACCCAACCTTCCTAATTATAAACAAAAATGCTGCTCATACTTTAGAAGTTAGAAGTAGTCTACTACTCATGTTATTCTTCAACTCTTTCTGCAGTATGGTTTCGCTGAATGACTCTAAAATTGAAGCTTTGCAACATGCAGCTGAAAGGCGATGCCCAGCGGAAGACAATATCTACATTATTAACGATAATCTTTATGTCACGGATTAAGACCCAGTGGTGCTCTTTGAGGTTTTATGCCCATGACTGCAGAAGACTGTGACCAGATATCACCATGTCAAACATCTTTCATACTCCAGGACCATTTTTCTGTGTCTGTTTCATGCAGTATTCCAACATGTCAGTCATATTGGATAGAGGCCAGCTCAAACCCGTGTATAGTCAACCTCATTGTTAATATAGTCCTAATATTTTATCCTAAAACTGGATTAATCTTTCTGATCGTTGCAGTGCTGTCTCTCAAACACGAACACTAGAATTGTATGTTCTCTTAAGACCCCATGCATCCCGTCTCCATCAAAGAGAATTGTCATTGGGAATCGAGGAAATGAACTTTTGGCCACCCAAAGCTGTCGAGAAGAGGGGAATAGGACTTAAAAATCAGCAAATCTAATTTAAGACTTCATTTGGATGTATTTCATTATTATTTCTTGTTTCTATATTATAACTCCAAATGTTACATTTCTTAGGTTTCCCTAGGGTTTCAAATCATAAAGGTTTTTATTTCCTCTACAGGGAAATAGAAGTGAGTCTAATGTCACCATAACAAATACACTTGTTTCCTCATGGCTCTGGAAACATATGCATTAAGTGCCTGATCCTGGATTAGGATCGCTATTTTAGCAGTCAAAAGAAGCTATAGCAGTGAATATGGACCAAGTAGACATTAGGGGGAGACAATCATTTGCCATGTGATTCAACACATTTATGCTGTTTTTACTACACTTGTGCCACGATGCTAGGCACTCATGTAAACAACCATCAGGCTCTCTGAACTAATTTTTAGAGTGAGGCAGTCCAGGGATCACTTATTCTATTTTATGGAATGAAGTGTTGCCCAATTCTAGAATTACAAATAAAACCAATTGAAATTTTTAAAATAAATAAAACAAAAAGAAGAATGAGGCAGTGCAAAAATGAAAGGAAAAAGGAGAGAGTAGGCAAAAAAGGATTTCTGCCTTAGAAAAGTTACATGGCAAATATAATAGTGTTTGTCACTAGTTTCATCCTAAATTCTAAATTGCCTCCAAACCACTTTTATATTTAAAATTGTTTCAGAAAACTGAAGAGTGGGTCTTTTTAAATATCTAGCCAATTCCAATGTTATTTTTTCACAGTTCAATTAAATTTTTAGTTTTGCCAGGAGAGTTAAACAACTGTTTATTGTCAGGATATCTTTAGTCACTGGTATAATAGAAATATAGATTTTCAAGGACTAGATTTGTCAGAAGAGAAAAATTTCTACCTGAACACTTAAGGCTGGGTTTTAATTCCAATTTCTATTTGAGTAAACCCTGAAATAATTCATGCTCGGGCGTCAGAGCTACTCACACCATAGTGGTCTAGGAGGACAGGATGCTTACTTTTGAAGACAACATTTTTGACACTGACCTGCAGAGTTCCAGGAAATTAATAGGTTCTTTGAAGGCTCAGTGGACAAATAAGATTGTGTGATACATGGTATTCTGGGTTTCCCAAATGGCGCCAGGCTGATCTGGTCTAAAAATTCATTTTGTTTAAAGTAGAGTGTTCTCTTGAATTTGAGGCAATGTGCATAAATTTGAAGATTTGAAATTCAAACCCAGATTTGTGGCTTCTCTGGAAATACTTGGCACGATTGGACTGCATTTCTAAGGACTCCGGGCCCCCACTGTTGGGGCCACACCCTCTAGCCACCAAGTCCTCGCCTTCCCTATCTGCTCGTTTTTATTACCCGCCCTATTCCCCACACCCTTCCTGGAGCTTTTTGGTGCACATGAAAGGCTCTGGGAATCTGGTTAACTTTGTTTAACCCAGCGTTTCCAAAAGTTGGTTGAACGTGTGAGCACAGTGACTAGTAGCATTCTGTGAAGCAATATATGGGGGCTGAGTGCAGTATACAAGATTAAGAATAGGACCTGAGCTCTAACCTAACTCTTAGCAGTAACACTGGATGACGTCAAAGCAAAGGTTTTTGTGTCAAATTTTTTTTCATCCATTAGATATAATCAATTCCATACCAACTTGGGTATAAGGTGATAATTCCAATGAAATGTTACTTGTGAGAAGTCTTTGAAAACTGAAAAAAAAAACACTACATAAATGCAAGATTAATTTTCTTTTAGACTTTGTAGTGATAGAAGATACAGTATTAGTGCTCAGTAAATAATTTCAATGGTGTTACATAAGTCTCTTGATATATAATATCTTTTTTTTTTAAGTGTTATTTTTTTGAAAAAGTTGGGTAGTTTGGCTATCATCTTACACTATGGATAAAATTCATCAATGACAGAATGGGTAAGAAGGGAGAAAGGGAAGAAATTTAGTTAATATGCTTTTTTCCCCCTGTAAATATATCAATCTTATTGATCATATTGAATCTTGTTTTGTTTTTTATTCTTGGAGACTTTGATTCTTGGAGATTCTTGTCTTTGATTCTTGAGATTCCATTACCTACAATCTGTCTTGGGACATTAGAACACTGATGTAATTAAGACCATATATTTAAACTTAAGAAATTTTGCACATCTTTAAGACGTAGCAGAACCGATTTTTCCCACATGTCTGTTAAGGTAGAATAATGTTATGGGTACATGGCAGTGTGAGGTACTTAGTGGTTGTCTTGTTTCATTTGTATGTACATTCATTAATAAAAGTTGAGTTCCTTTTTTTTCATTTTGAAAACTGACTTGGTATTTTCTCAGGCTCATCAGTTAGTCTGGGCCAGGCATCGTCAACTTGTGGACTCCTGGGACAAAGTCAAATTGGGTCAAAATTTGTTGAGAATCAAGCAGGTGCCACGTAATCTTATAGGTGCTGGGGATATAGAAGAGAACAACTCTGAGCTCCAGTTCCGGAGGAGTGCCAATTTAGCAGGGAAGAAGTACAAAAACCATCATTTCTGGTACTGATTAATGCTTAGGAGAAAGAATATTGTAGTAGAGCCTGGCTTCTCAACCGTTGCATTTGGGGCCAGAGCATTCTGTTGGGGGGGTCTATCCTCTGCACTGTTAGCTGGCCAGCATCATGCCTGGTCTCCACCCACTGGATGCCAGTCATATCCTCCAGTGACAACTGACATCTGAGGGGCAATATCACACCTGGTTGAGAGCCACTGTGGTAGAGCGCGTCTGGGCATGGGCAGGAAGTGGTATAGCTTTAGCTGGTTGGTCAAGGGCTGCTTCTGGGAAAGAGGTGACATTTAAGTTGAAACCAAAAGAAATGTCTAAGTAGCGACTACGTGAAAATCTGGTGGAAAGGATCCATGAAATGCAAAGGGCCTGGGGCAGGAAGGAGCTGTGTATTAAAAGAGGAAGTTGTGTACCAAGGTCTGGAAAAGGCAGTGAGTAAGAAGGGCTGGAGACATCGGCGGCATGTCTGGCCAGGTACTGGTGGAAAGGGCTCTATGACATGTCTGTTTCAAAAAAGAGTCCCACTGTAGGCAAATAAAGCATGTTTGCATATTAAAGGTTAAACCTGATCCCATCACCTAATTATATTTGAACATCTATTAACATGCTTCAGTGATGCTGTTCTGAGTTCAGGTATGGCCCCTTGAGAAAAAGTCAGCTTAGTTGGGGTGACAGAAAGGGATAGAGGAAGGAGAGGGGGATAAGGGCACATCTTGGCCCCAAGAGGCTTAGCACAGGGCTGTGAGAGGCCCCCAGGCCTGAGAAGAGGGATCTTGGAAGAGGAGGGAAAGGGCAGCAAAATTTGGCTCTGATTGATCTGGGTCCAAACTTGCAGCTTTGAGAGGCAATGGTGGGGTGGTGTAAGAGCTAACTTCATTTGGTCCACAAATGGATTTTTAAAATAGCTGTGTATTTTGACGTGCATTTTTTTCTTTTTTTCCTTTTGGAGGTGGGGAGACACTGTCTCCCAGGCTGGAGTGCAGTGGCACCATCATAGCTCACTGCAACCTTGAACTCCTGGGCTCAAGTGATCCTCCTGCCTCAGCCTCCCAAGTAGCTGGGACTACAGGTGTGTGCCACCACACCTGGCTAATTTTTTCTATGTTTAGTAGAGACGGGGTCTCACTGTATTGCTCAGGCTGTGATGTGAATCTTTTTTTTTTTAAGCCTCAAATCCATGACTTGATGGATATTGATTAGGATAATTAAAACTTTAAAGTTCATTAATCTAGAATAATATGAGTGAATAATAGCAAAAGGGCAATGTGAATAGGGAAAGGTTATGTAGATTCCTGAAGTCAGGGAGGCAACAGATTAGTTCAGCTGGGAGCTTGTTAAAATACAGAACAGGTTCCTGGGCCCCACTCCTAAAGATTTTGATCAAGTATGACAGATGAGATCTCGGATTTTTGTTTGTTTAAATGACAGGAAACAAGTGACTGCAAATTATTTCACATTTCAAAAAATCATTCAGATTTTATCAGAGAATATGCAGAAATAAGAGCATAGAATAATCCTTCATTTCTACTTATTTAAGATGTAAATCTTAGAAAATGAACACAAAAAACTTTATTTGGGGGGGACTGTTCATATTGTGCTGCCACTTTTTTTTTTTTTGAGACAGAGTCTGGCTCTGTTGCCAGAGTCTGGCTCTGTTGCTAAAGTGCTGTGGCATCAGCCTAGCTCACAGCAACCTCAGACTCCTGGGCTCAAGCGATCCTCCTGCCTCAGCCTCCCAAGTAGCTGGGACTACAGGCATGTGCCACCATGCCCAGCTAATTTATATATATATATATATATATATATATATATTTAGTTCTCCAGATCATTTCTTTCTACTTTCTTTTAGTAGAGACGGGGTCTCGCTCTTGCTCAGGCTGGTCTCGAACTCCTGACCTTGAGTGATCCACCCTCCTCGGCCTCCCAGAGTGCTAGGATTACAGGTGTGAGCCACTGCGCCCGGCTGTGCTGCCGCTTTTGAGGCTAAATAAGATTATTCAGTGAAATCCCCCAAATATAGGAAAACCCTAAGAAATGTAAAGAATACACACTTAGACTCTGGTTTTTATGATCTAGTTTGTGAATATTTCTTCTAGGTTCACAGTGCTTTCTGGAAGGAAAGGAATATGATAATTTGTCATTTGATCTCCCTCTGATCAAGGTCTT